ATGCAAACTACAGCCAATTTAAAAAAAAAAAAATCACAGAAATGAGAGATGGGAAAATCTTGCTAGCTCATCCAGATAATCTTCTTTTATTCTAGCCCAGCCCAATTCCTGCAAGATTCTTGCCTACAGTACATTTTCCAGTGCATTAACCACCCTGGTTGTGTATGGTTTAAGCAATGGGCATCCTTTACTTCCCATGAGAGCCTGTTCCACAGATGACTACTCTTCACTGCTTGGAAGAGGTTTCTGAAGTTTTCTTTCTGTTCTGTCTGACCTAATTTCTCTAAGATCTGCCCATGGTAACATGCTAGCCAAATGTTCTCCTTCCTTCATGCTTACCTAGTTCAAGTGATGTCAAATAATTCTTGTTCAGTCAAGCTGTTTAGCCACAATGCTTAATACTTTGTTGTAAAGCTCAGCAATTACAATCCTTGGCTACCTGGGAAAGACTAACGTTGAGATTAGCATGTTAATGGGTGCACAGAACATAGAAGACATTGCTAGTAGCGTTGCCTCTGTGTTATAATAGTCACCTGACACAACTCATCACAAGGTTTGGCTCTGGTTGCTTTTGACTTTGCCAGACTTGGAGCCGACATCTCCTAGCTCATGTCTGCTTCAGCTATTTTATTGGGTTCTTTTTGCTTTTGTTTGTATTTTCAGTCACACTTAGATGTTTCTGAGAACAAGGCTGGCAGGGGTATATTCTGTTTTATCCACATTAAAAAAAAAACAACTTGATGATTTTTTATTTTAAGAAAACACCCTGTGAGCAGCATATTACTTTGAGATAAATCACAATTTTTCTGTCAGGAAGACGCCTTTTGCCATCTATGACAAAATCTCCTCTGAATTTGGCTAAAAAATGAGCCTTTGAGTAATTGCAGCTTGAGCCTACTCAGAAAAAAATACTGGGGGCCAGGAAGAACAGTTGTTTATTAGTATTATTTTTTAACTGTGGGCCTGAGGTAAATATAGCACATGATTTCGTGATTAAGGCCCAGGTTACAATGCACTTGCACAAGGGCTGTGTCGCCAGGGTCACCTTGCTCTGTCCTCCCCTGGATGGTGTCACTTGCTCCTGGAGCTCTCCTGCCCATGGCTGGGGCCACCCTGGGGAAGTGATATCTGTGCTCTGCCTGTGGGATGGGGGCTACCCAGGCAAGCAGAAACCTGGCTGCAAGGAAAGAGAGAGGTACAGAGAGAGGAGGAGGAGAAAGAAAAGAATAGGGAAAAAACCAACAAAACCAACAGAAAAAGAATAGCAGAAGACAGGGAGACACCCAAGTTCTCTTCCGGCAATCTCCAAAATATTTCTCATCTCCGTTTCACCCGATGGGTGCCCTCCCTTCCCCGGGGACATGTGGGGAAGCCTGGGTGCCCCACAGCTTCCCGGCCATGGCTCACATGCTGCTGCATCTGCCCCGCACCCACAGCAGCGACACCACCTGCTCCCAGCACCATCTTCTCCCAATATCACATGCTCCCAACACTGCCTGTCCCAACATCACCTGCTCCCTCTGGGACTCCAAGGCACAGGGTCAGGGCCTAAACTCGTGTCACCGGTTCCCTGTCCCAACCTGTTCCCTCCTGGGCACATTGGCAGCCCCACTGTACTGCCCACTGCAGCATGCAAGGGCACTGGAGCCATAAGCACTGGGGATAGTGCTCGCCAGAAAGACCATCTGTGAAGCCACAGGTTCAAAATGCCATGAAGGAATGGAAGAGGATCTGAAATCTTCATTGTCTAGGGAAAAAGGAGATTCCCTCAATCCTGGATAATTATCAGTACATGCTGAAAGATAAAAGGTGCAATTATAATAACAGCACTGTTGTTTTCAAAGCACCCACTTTAACATAACCGTCTGCTCAGTGCTATAAAGAAAGCTGATTTTATTATTCCCTTTTGACCAGCATATTAGACCTTGGCTCCTCTGACCTGTGCTCGCTACCGTCTGTGCTCCATCAGGGAAGCCAGTCTGAGAAACTCTCTTATGCCTCTGGCCACCGTGGTTTCTGTACCTCTTGCCATGCTGCCTCTTTATTCATGAATCCTTCCCCTCCCAGATTTTTCCCCCTCCCCTTTTTTTTTCTTGCCAAAGCAAGGAGTTTTTAATAGCTAAAGAACGAAAACACCTCCCACGCCTCACCTCAAAAAAGCTAACTCTCTGTCTTACTCACTCTTTTTGATTTCCAAACCTCTCCTGCTAGCTTAAAGCCTTCCTTTGAAGCACTGGTTTCTCAAATACTAGCACGTGAGTATAATTTGAGTAAACCGTATAGTTCCAATGGCCTCAAGGGGACAATCCACGTGAGTAAATAATTCAGATGTGGGCTGGAGAGCATTGATGGCATTTAACAGAGATGGAAAAAGTTTTCTGTTGGATATTGTGATTTGATTGGAATCAAGATGTTACTGACTTCAATCCAGGATGGAGTAGTATCTGCCTTGCAAAATATTTTAACAGTAGGCTTGGAGATCTTCGGGGTGCCTAGGTCATATTAATGTAGGTGGATTGACTAGATAATCTTTGGAGGCTTCCTCTAGCTCTGTTTATTCTGATTCACCATAGTGAAATGGAGGAAAAGATAAATTGAAGCAAAGAACCTTCACTTTGGCTTTCTCATTTCCATACATGAAACCAAAGTGTAGTGTGGTTCAGCTGTACTGCTTCAATTATTTTTTGCTTTAAAACTGGTATTAAACATTTCTTTGACTTCAAGATCACCTGCATGTGTGATGTACTGTTTGCACAGATTAATTTTAGTTTTGCAGTTTTGCCACTATCAAAACAGGGTGTCTCTTTCCCACCAGCTTTGTGCTGATTCCAACATCAACAAGGATCAACTGTGCTGTAGATTTACTTCTGTGGGAATGACTGTGAAGACCCAACTTTATAGTCTAGGGAAACAAGAACTATTTTTGAACTATCAGTCCAGCCACAGCAATGTGAAGGTCAGCACAGTTTACTCCATTTCTGGACTGAGGTTTGTGCCCCACATTGTGCTCCATATTGCTAGAGTAAAATTGCTAGCAACACCCAATTAAAACAAGCAGTGAATGTTTACTCCCCATCATTGCCACTGCTTTGACTGCAGTGTAAACGCACCACTAATGACTTGGCCGATGGGAGGGGAAAATTACGTGTCAGAGCCAAGTACAAAACCAGGAATTTAGGCTGTCAGCCAGCTTGTTAGATCACATTGTGTGCCTCTAATGAAATGCATTGATTTGTGACTCTTACAATAACATTTTTAGGAAATCATTTCACTGGCTATTTATTTGTGTGTTGGAGCAGCCTGATGAGGTTGGAAAACTAAACCAGACATGGTGCCTACAAATCAAGAGCAAAATTTTAAGAATGAGGTTAATTAACCATTGGAATAACTTTTCTAAGGATGTGCTGGGTTTTCCATCATATCCTGTTGCACAGTCGATAATAGTGCCTTGTATAAAATATGTGTTATAGCTCCAGCAGGAGCTCTGTGTATTGCTAGAAACGATTTCTTGAAGTTCTTTAGGTTTTGTTACACCGGAGATGAGACTATGTTTTTATAATGGTCGCTCTTGACGATAAATAAACCATGAGCCTGTGACAGCCATTGAGTCGGAGTGTTTGTGATTCTGTGGAGTAACAGACTGAGATGCCATAAGTGGTAGATTTAAAACTGGCAACAATTTTCATAAGGGGGACTACCAAATTACAAAGACGCATTCCGCAGAAGTGGATGCCCTGCCAATCCTGTGGCAGATATAATGTACCGTGATGAATTAGCGAGCTCGGAAAGAATTAACCCATCAATAAAATGACAGACTTGGTGCATTTCAAAGCATCTGGTCAGATCTCATGGAAATTGTTAGCTGCTGCATGTTCAGTCAGAGAGAAAGAACTAGTGGGGAGAGCCCATGATCACCTTGTAGTATTTCACTGGATGCCTCAGAAAAGCAGATGGGGATAGTGAGCAGTGGATAAGGTAAGCCTTTATCTATTTAGGGGTTTGTGTGAACCCTTTCCTGCACTGACTGCTCTTTAATATCCTTATAGATCTATACAAAAAAGTTTTATTTTTCTTGCCTGCTTACAGTTTATGGTTGGCTAAATTTAATAATTTTTTTTTTCTTTGTGGTCAGGTGAACACAACCTAGAGTTGCTAGAGTTTAAGCACTCTGTGAAAGCAACCCTCCTTAGCCTTATGTTGCCTATATAGAAATTGAGGAATCTCTAATGAAGCCTCAAAGTCTGTGTTGCTTAATTTGGTTTTTTTTTTCTTTTCACATCTACTTTCTGTGGTTTTTTAAATGGTTCATAACCATAAAGGTTAGTAAAAAATCCAGCCAAGTAAGACTTGTTTTGAGAAATAAAAAAAAAGAAAAAAAAATTGTTAGGTCCAAAATGATGGCAAGCTTGTTTGTTGATCTTTAAGATGCATTTATTTATTTCCATTCAATCTTTTTTTCTGTTCTGCCACAAGCTTTATGTCTAGCAATGTAAGCTATTCATGTTTAAAAACAGAATTCACCTTTAAATGTGCTTAACTAGAAAAAATATGTCTGGTGAGGTCATTTGCAGAGCAAGAGTTAATGCATCATGCAAACAGCTAAATAAAGGTTACAATCTGAGTGGAATTATTCAGAGCTCAGGGAGAAATCTGGCATTTGCAGTCTGTCACTGGGTTTGAGAAGTCTGGCTCTCTCAGTGTCACTGTCACCCGGAGATATCCTGCTTTCTGTGTGGCAGTAAGGGAGGGGACTGCAGTGCTGGATGGTCTTCTTGCAAAAAACAGCAAAAACAGGAGCAGCGGGAAGTGTCATGTATGAGGAATGTGTGGAATGAGGGGTATGAGCCCGTCTCTGTCCAGGTTTCACAGAGCGACATTATGTGTGTAAATAGCCCATAGTTCTTCCTCCTCTCTTTTCTTCCTCAGAACAACTGAACAGCACATGTTAGGACAGCATATGACTCCTGATATCCCTGGGGAGGAGGGCTGCATGGAGGGCTATGAAGAGCCGTGTGCCCCTTGAGACCTGCCAGTTAAGTATTGCAACTCTTGGGCTCTGTCTGGTGAGGGCTTTTTGCCCTTCTTTTCTACCAATATCCTTGGGAATTGAGGCTGTCACTTTGGGGCAGGATACACCCTAAATATGTATGTGATACAGCTGGGGTAAAAATGCATCACTTGTAAACACCCAGGCTTTTGTAGAATTGTAGAGTTGGCAATCTCCATAGAGGTGTTGTGCTAGGATTGTGTTTTGCATTTTGTTTCCTTGATTTGTTTCTATAACCCAAGCGCTTGGCTGATTGCACAGGAAATCAACTGCTGTGGGCATTCACTTCAATGGGCAAACTTTAAACGAGTCACCAGGGACTGGCTGCTGCTGAGTTCAAAGAGAAAGAGACATCCAAATCCTCTAGCCAAGCCAAGTTATGGTGGGAAATATCAGATACAAAGAGGACGAAAGTGGAAGGAACAGTAGGGTGAAAGATACAGCTTGGTTTTCCTGTCCATAATTGGTAAGATTAAGGCGAGGTTGGAATGGAGGTTTAAAAAAAAAGACACACCATAAAATTTTGCTAAGGGAAGTTTGTTGAACATCAGGAAATGTGCTCTGGTGTTTTCATTCTATGAGCTGTGTCCAGTAATTTGGGGATGGAAACACGTTAAGAAAGTTAATATAGTACTCAATAAAATATTGGAAAATGTATTAGAAAGAATAGTCCCATGCAGGGCAGAAGGTGGAGCAAATGCCCTGCTAAGCTCCTCCATTCATTCATCTTTTTTTTTTCCTCCCAATGATTTCAGTATTCTATCCAGGATCACATAACTCAAAGATCACCCCCATATCCTCAGGTGAGCTATAGAGGTTGTGTTCATAGACATTGAAATAGAGGAAGGTAGAGGTGGAAGAAACATAAAGGGGATGAACAGGAGTATAAACTTGGGTGCTGCTTCCCCCAAGCACACATGTGAGCAGCAGACTCATGAAAAGTAGACTAGAGAAAGATTGCCATCTTCTGGAAGGATAAATATCTGCCATTATTCAGAATACTAAATCTTGTATATTTTTGAAACCATAGCATGTTTCTGATTTTTTTTTTAATCTGAGTTTTTAACCATATAAATCTAATTCAGTCTCATTTCATCAATATATATTTGTGATCCCAGCTTTAGAAACTGACATAGTATCTTGATTTTGGCGAGACTCTCATCAAGCTTAAAATTAGGAACATGTTAACATTAAGAATTATCAGTAGATGAATGGACTTTATTCTTGAGCCCAAAAACCAGGCTTTTTTTTACTGAGTGTGTAGACTTAAGGTGTTCAGGTGCAGAGAGACTGAACAATGAAAAAAAAAATAGTATTACCACTCTCCTTTTAAAGAGCATCAGCTGTTATTCTACCTGTTTCAGTAAATTAAGTACACCTGTGTCGAGCAGAACTTCTTTATTGACCTAAAAAACCTGCAGACAGTCCATGGAGCACTGAAACGTTTAGCATTGCTTTCAGTTAGCCAGTCTTAGAAATGATTATCTATATTAGAAGAGCTTATGCAGTGACTGGGATTAAAGCAGTTGCAGAGCTATCGACCACTCTGCTCTGAACAGGAAGGGTCAGGAGTCCATGGCAGCACAGCCCACATATGGGACCGTGACCCTGTCAGCTCTGTCTGCTGCTGGTGCTGTGCAAGGGCTTTCACAGGCTGTGCTGTCACCCAAAGCCATTCACACACCTGCATCCCAACCTCTGGGTTTTGGTGGAAGTTGGGGATGAGAGCAGATGGACCATTAGTGTCCTCTGTCCTGGCAAAGCAGCAGGACAGGGAATCTGCCTTGGCCCCTCCCAGTGGTGCTAGGAGTCTCACCCACTTGGCACTGGGCAAAGCCTTTGTGGGGTGTGTGTACCTTTGGGATGCTCCTCTTCCTTGCAGTTTGAATCAACGCAGCACTTCCCCATGCCCTCTAGTGACAGTTTGTTCTCCTGAGAGGTGATGTCATTCTTAATTTTCGCTGTTCTGATGTCAAACAAGGTGTATCAACACCCTCAGGAATTGTGGGGCCTTTAATCTTTCAGGACAAGAGTTCAGGGTGAGAGTGAATCTTTGTGTATCAGATCCTCACTAGTTTCCCAAATTAATCCAATGTGAAGCTGCTGGGAACCGGGATTCTCGGTGAACTTTGCACCTTGGTAAAAGTTGCCATCACAAGAGACATTGACAGTCTTCCTCATGCTCCCATCCTTTGATTATTGGACTTCTTTGACTCGTCACCGTTTCACATACCTCTGTCACAGTGGGGATGCCATGGTGCCAGTCTGCTGGATTGGCATCTCTTCAGGGTCTGAAATCCTTGGTCCTCAGAGCAGATGCAGTCACACAAATTTTCCCCATTTTTCCTTCTCCCCTTTCTGTGACTGGCAGGTCTGGCCAGGAAGATATCCCAGGGCTGGGGGCTTGTGGCCTTTGCCATTCTGCTGAGGCAGTGCACAGGGCAAGGGGTGACCTGATGTCAAGGGTGCTGGTAGTTTCTGAGCTAAGTCCACTCGTCTCCGGAAGCATTGGCCAGAGAGCTGCCAGTTTGCTCCATATGAGCTCCCAAAGAGCCACCACAGGGAGATGGCTGGGATCTTTCTGTGTTTTACAGAAACTTTCTACTCAGTCACTACAGGTCACTCTTCTACACTTAATCCCAGCCCGCAGCACCAATTGCTTCCCATATAATCTCCCAGAACAGCTGTGCCGTGATTGCATTGTGGATTACAAAATGACCATTTTCCACAAAACAGCTGCTAGCTGAAGGGATAGCATTTAATAATCACTGAGGAGGGGTAAGGGAGGAGGAGAGGAGATAAAGGAGAAAGGGGTTTTGAGGCAATTGGGTTTCTTGGAGGATCTAGAGAGGAGCAAAACAGCAGACAAAGTGTGAGTCCCATTTCTGTTTTGCTCCTCCAAATTAACAGGACTTCGAGGACTTGCTGCTGAGGTAAATTCAACTCTCTTTACTTTTGGGGCTATATAGATATTCTGTTCAGTTATTGTCAGTAAGTGCTTGGTGTTTATGGAGGGAAACTTTTCTGACAATGTTTTCATGAAGGAGTAGTTCAGAACTGCTCTTTATTCCTTCTATTCTCTGCATCCTTGATGCGGTTTCTTCTTCTGACTCAATTGTTTCTTTTTATTATTTTGCCTTTTTTGTTATCACTTGTTCTGAAATTATATGGTCTTTCAGCTACTATCACAAATCAACTGGAGGGAATATTTTTCTCACTATTGAAGATTTAAATTAGAAAAAATATTTTTGTCGATATTATGAGTAGAAATATTTCCTTTCAATAAAAGCATGAACAAACTGGAACCTGATGACAGAAAATCTTATAATGAAGCATTGATGAAAAACTGAAAAACTTTATGAACTGAAGATTTCTATTTACAGATGAAGAATCATGTTTTTGAGGAGAGAAATTTTATCTATTATTTCCTTTTCAGTCATAAGCCAAATTTTCCACTGAAAAAACTTTCAGTGAGGAATTTGTGACCAACATTATCCAGAAACATTTATGCAATTAAGTATTCCTAGCAGGCTCTGTGAAAATGGTGATACCCAACATGCCTTCAGATCATGAAAGTCAATAGCTATGGTGTTACCATCTCCAGGGTGCAGCATATCCATTGCTGAAAGAAAGAAATGCTCTGGTGGAGAGACAAAAGAAGCCAGAGCATCAAACAATACAGGATTTTTTCAGGAGCTGGCTATTTTCTTGCCTTCAATAAGGACGATCTGGATCAGGCACTGTTTTCTCAGTATGACGAGATCCTACTGAAGTCCTGCTTTCCAAGAGGAGCTTCAGCACCACCTTTATTGACCACATTTCTGAGCTTACTGGTTAGCAGAACAAATGCTTCTGACTGCCCCACTTTTAGCTGTGGTGCATTCACAGATGATGCAAAGCTCAGTCTTGTATAATTTATTTATAGTAATGTCCACAGTATGCTGGGCCTTTCTCACACGTTCAAGGTTGAGTGAGTCAATCCAAGTTATGTGAAGAGGACCAGCAGCAGGCAATGTCTGTACAAACTGAATCTATTCATGGGCAAATAGATTTTGAGAGTCATAAATAGGAAAGGGTGGGAGTATCTGGATGAAGTTGTGCCAAACATAGGGAGTGACATGTGGGAAGAGGCATGCGTTGATTGCATGAAAGTTGATGTGTGGGCAGATGACATCTAATCAATCCATGCAGTGATAAGTTGGAGTTCTCAGAAGTCGGTGCAAGGTTTTGCAGGAACCATAACATCTTAAGCTTCCCTCTGAGTGAGCAAGACCACAGGACGCTGGTGCACAAACTGCTTTCTGAATTACTTTTTCTGATGAGATGAAACTGGGAGGAGTGTTTGTGGCAACATCTGCTCTTAAAAATCCACCCTTTGGCACTTTGTGTGAGAGCAGAGACACTTTCATCCCACCACCCTACCAAATTTCTGATGTGCAGAGAAGTGCTTGCTCAGGCAGGAGATGCTGCTTTGGAGCTTGAACTTGAGCTGCCAGGTCTGGATAGGTGGGTGTCCCTCCTGAGCAGGTCACTGCTTTGATGTGTGACCTTCAGTGATCCAGGAACATTTTCCTGCCTTCCTCCACTGTGAAGTCAACTACACCTCCCCACCTCCTTAGATACAGTAATGAACGGTTTGAAAAAGTGTTTTGAGACACTGGGCAGCAAGAATTCTCAGTTAGTTGGACAGATCATTCATCATGACTCATCTAAAGGCAACACATGGTATTGGGGGAAGTTGGTTAACAGTTTTTTTTTCCCTACCATCTCTGGGATGAGTGAATATGATGTCCCTTTCATTTTGCTCATGTGCTCACACATCTTGATGCATTCAGCCCTGCTATGTCACCCTCTCTTTCCCAGTGTAGATATTCAGTGTACTTCGAAATAGTTGAAGATTACCTAATGCTTCACTGCCCTGGCTTTCAGGACACAGTTCTTCCTCACTGGGTGAGCTTTTGGAATATTGTGAGGAGGGCAGAGTGCTCACATCCCCTGCCCTCAGGTACATATTGGGAAGAGCTGGGGCTTGTAATGCTTGGTGGGACAAGTGGCTGGTGTGACAGTCCCTCCTGTTTGTGTGTTGTAGATGGAGCTGCTGAAGGGATTGCCATGGCGTCGTGCTTTCCTGGCCGTCATCCTGAACCTGCTGGCTCTCAGCCTCTCCACCACTGCCTTGCTGGGCAGCTACTGGTGCACCGGGACCCAGAAAGTGCCCAAGCCTTTGTGTGGAAAGAGCAAAGCCACCAAGTGCATCGGTGTCCCCATGCCGCCTGACGCAGGTGCTGGCAACATTTCAGCTCAGGAAGAGGTGCACTACAGCTGGGAGACCGGGGATGACCGCTTTGCCTTCAGATACTTCCACACGGGAATGTGGCTTTCCTGTGAAGAGAGCATGGAAGGGCCAGGTAGCATCTTGCACAGACAGCCACAACTTCTTCCCTTGTATTTATGCCACAGGAATTTGGAAATGAAAGGCGGGAGGCTGACAACACTTGGGAGAAAAGTTGTCTTCATTTTCCTAGATGGCAGCAGCCCTGTGCACTGCTGGGGTTATTTTATTTCTGTCCTTCATTGGGATGTTTACAGAGGGAGGCAAGGGATAATCATTATCTCTGGTGTACCCTTTGGTCTGGAATAGGGGCTATGAAGTGTAAGTGGTGGTGGTGGGGGCAATGACTTTGTGACAGCATCGTTCATGCCTTTCTCCATATTTCCATCCCTACACACGGCTCACTTCATGCTCTCCAGGGCACACTTGTGCATATCTCCTCAGAAACCTAAGTGGGGTGATTTTATGCAGTGTTGTCAATTTATAGTTATCACTCTGAGGACTGCAATAGTTGGTGTTCTCCTAAAATCACTAAACTGAGAGGTTTTGTGAATTGAACAGGGACTGAGCTTTTCTTAAAAAAAAATTAGAGAAAGACAAATATTACCTTATAAACACAGAGAAAGCCTGGAGAGTCTGAACCCAGAAAAACTGAGGTTAGGAGGCAAATTGACCTGAGGATGAGAGCTGTAATAATGTAAAATTTTAAGTAGTTTTTGTGATATTGTGACAAGTTTAATTTGTGATTTTTGACCAGTTTCATTTGAGAATTTAGACCATGTGAGACTGGCACTGTAAACCCTGCAGTGCCAGAGACTGGTTTTGCAACCTGTGCTAGACCCTTTTGGTGCCTCCTTTAACCCTTGACTTGCTCCTGCACAGCCCTGCTCAAGTCCTTCTGCTGAAACCTGTGCCATGCCAGCACGGGTGGATGCTCTGCAGTGCACAGATGCTCTTTACAGCCTGGCACACACATCAAGAATCAGAACTGACCTGGAAGGTGGCCAACAGGGAGATTTGTATCTAAAGATACAGTGATGAAAGTCACTTTCATCAGGTGCATTGCCCTGAGCCCATAACCCTCCCTTCAGCTCTCCCCAGGCACAAACTTCTCACGTTCTCTAACTAAGCCACCATCCTAGTACAGCATTTCTCATTTCCTTATCTGTTGCTGTCAGAGTTTGAAAACAAAGAACTGGTGAATAAAAGCAGACAGAAGAGGGGTGGGAGTAGGAGGGAATGTGCTTGAAGCTCTCCTGTCCTAATGAGAGGGCTGCTTTTCTATGAACATTTCCAGACATACTGCAGAAGGAGATGTGTTTATTTGGGACTGGTTTGGGTTGGGGTGTGTTTCCATGGTGCTTGTGGGAATGGGACTACATCCCTTGACAGTTTTCTCTGCAAGACTTGTCTGGCCACTAAGCAGTCCTGGAAAAACCGTGATGCCTGAAGGAATGCAGAGATTGTGTTACATCTGGATCACAACAGAGCACAGGGTAGAGCACATACTCAGTCTCAGTCCTCTGCTTCCTGTAAATCCAGTACAACCCACCCACTGCTGTGGCTCTTTGAAGCAAGTGCATAGACAACAACAACAACAAAAGGGGCTATTGTAAGCAAAAGGAGTTGGAGTTGAGCTGGAGAAAGGATTTCATTATTCAGGCTAATCTCAGGATCAGTTTAGATGAGCCATTGCTGAATAAACTCATTACGGTTCTAGGTGAAGTAGCAAACTGCAAGTTAATGAGGACTGCAGATGGCACTAAACTGGGTAGCGTCCTGGGAGCTGTAGATGTCAGAATACAGGAGACTGGGAGAGATTAGAACAGGGGATAGAAATTAAGAAAATGAGATTTTTACATGAAAAGCAGCAGGCTGATACTTCTGGGAGAAAATACTAGGCCAAACAGTGGAGAGGACCCTAAAATGCAGTAATGCAGTATGCTGTAAATGAGACTTAGGAGATAATAATGATGGATGCTCAGCTGAGACAATAATTTGCATCTGGCCAATGTAAAAAGCCAAAGCAAATATGAACACCATTTGTCCAAATAGCAAGACCATATTTCTGTGTGAATCTCTGCCACAGAAGACAGACTCACATGTCTAATGCAGCATTTCACTTGGGAAAATTTTTTTTTTTTTTGCTTTCTTCTTTGGGAAGCAGTGCTAGAACTGCTGTGCTGTGACTGGGGTGAGTGGGAATTCACATCCTCAGTAGAAGTGATGGATCTGCAGTCTGTTATAAACTACACCCTTAATAGGCCCGACCAATTGTGAATTAGTAGCAATGGATTTTTGTTTTCACAAGAGGCTTCTAAGATTTACAAATTGCTGGAATTTTTTTCTGGAAAGGCCACTTCTAGTTTTCCAGGCAGACATTGCCTTCCCCTGCCTTGTCCCAGTGAAGGTCTGGAAAGATGGTCAGAAAGAGAGCAGAGGCGAGAAGATATGATGGGTAGACTCAGGGGTGACTGGAACTATGCGGTGAAAATAGAGTGAGAGGAAGATATTTTCTTTTCCCTTATGAGCCCTGCATTGTTTTGCAAACTAATACCTTTGTTTTTGTGTTTCAGAAGAGAAATGCCGTAGCTTTATTGAGCTTTCACCACCTGCAGAGAGAGGTAAGAGCAAATCCACATACCTCACTGTAGCTGCCCACTGCACCTCTTTGAAATGGGGGACCTGCAACATTTTGCTTGTGTGAGGGCAATGGAGTGGGTCCCTAAAGAGCCAGGCATGAAATCCAGGCCTCACGGTTGCTCAAAGAGCAAAGATTTCCTCCCAGATGTTTGGCCTAAACCACTACCATCTGTGGGGTCAGAGCTGGAAACCTCAGACCCCCTCCCATATGAAGTGGGTTTTGTCTCATCTCATAAGTTGACCAGTCTGAGCTTGTTGTCTTGCTGCAGTCAGCCGGAAGGGGATGTCTGCCACCTGAGGGCAGTCCTTCGCACACAGGCCACATGTTGACTCGAAGCTTCAGTTTTGGGGTCTCATGTAATGACCCTGGAAGCTGAATCTCCTCTTACTTTGTGGTAAGTGATCAGGACATTCAAAAGTTACACTTTCAGGGTCCTCATCAAATACAAAACTTCATTTAGGTCGGAAAGCTCACCCCTCCAGACTTTGTCATGTGTTTCAAATTATCCTGGGGATAACTGCAGTATATCTGGATGTATGTGTATGAACGCAGTGGTGTTCACTTACTGAAAGCTTTTCAGTTGGTGTGGGCTTGCTAACTGTTCCCTGAGATGAAGGCTGGAGGCAAATAATCTTAGAGGATGTTCATATGTGAAAGAAAAGGCCTAGGGTGCAGAGGCTGTGTCAGCATTCAAACCATCAGAGCAAGGGCTAGGACAAACACTGGGAAATTGCAACAGCCAGCAGAGAGATGAGTACTTTTGGGGACCTCATCTTTTCCTGCTTTGTTTCTCCTATTTTAAAAACACTGGCAAAGGCTGTTAACCTGCTTTTATAAAGTAATGTGCATTCTCAGGTGAGTGCTCTGTTGCAGGTGGCCTGCGGTTGCATCACTGCCCAGATTAACCTGGGTCACTTTTGGCACAACAACAGGGTAGATAAACCTCCCCTGCTTATTCTTTTGGGAAACAGTATTCACACAATTCAACTAACGCTGGTGTTAAAAGATAATTTTGAAGTCATGGAGATCTCCACTTTGTCATACAATAAATTACTTAACTATGTTTACTGAATGACTCTTGCATTTACCACAAAATGCTCACTTCACAGGGAGTAGCAATCCATTTTTCTGCTTTCTCATCTTGTGCTTCATTCCCTGCCCAGGCCTTTGGCTCTGTTGCTTACAGACTGTTTTTGTAAGAAAGGAGGTTTATGCAATCAGACTATGTGTCTTTGTAAATCTTTCCGTCTATCCCCCCTCACACTCCACCTACTGCTCCTTGTCTAATTGCAGCCCAGCACTGATAGAAAAGTCATGTTCTTTAAAACACTGAGCTCCTACAAATCAAATGGAAGATCACTGTGAGCTTAAGCATGATACTCATAGTGACACTGTGGTTTTAACAGCTCTACTACCCGCTTTTGCCTCTTCCTGCACGTAGCATCACCTTAAGATGACCTTGGCCTCCAGTGCAGTTGCCATTATATAGTTGGGAGAGCACTGGAGAGGGTGGTGTGACTGCTGATTGCAGGCTGGGCTGGCTGAGCTGTCTGCATGCAGAGCAGCTGCATGTTACACAGGCAGCATTGCAAGACCAGAGTACACAGCATACGTGGTGAGCATGGATCCACAGAGAAAGCAATGCAGAGATCTCTGTGCGCACGTGGTGCCTGCAGACTCCAGGATGCTTTCAGCAGTCTGACCACTAATGAAATAGTCTCCCTGATGGTGCAAGCAATGCAGCTCCTTTAAGCAGGGAATGCAACTCATCAGCTGCTGCTAAAGAGCTGGGTGACTCTATGGCACTAATGATGTTGAGGAGTCAAGTCAGTGCCACATTAATGAGGGTTTTCTTCACACTCCTTTTCCCCAGTTGAATGTATCCTCTATGGCCATTAATAGTTGCTGACAGTAGTGTTCACAGCGCTGCTTCATTTGTCAGATTAATATTTCTTCCTCAGTGAATCATCCACTTTTCCACAGCCCAGCATTACAGAGTGCCTTTTCTCATTCTCCTCCAAGTCCTGCTGCACAGTGAGCTTGGCTGAGGACTGTGGCATCTCTTAAGCCCCACTGGTAATCCTAGCATGAAAGTACCTATACTCTGTTCAAGCAGCAGGGTGAGTGGCAAATATTACTGCACTAGCTGGATATCCACCCCAAGGAACGCAGGCCCACAAGGGACCTACTGAATTCTGGAGGCCAGATCCCAGCCACCACCAAAAATCCATAGAGTTCTTTTCTTAACCAGTTGAGTTCCAGGTTAAAAGTTGTTAGCTTCCATTGTTGTGATCAGAAACCTACTCTGAACATCACTGTGCTAATGGGTAAGAGCCCTCTAACATCCATGTGTTCATGGCCAACCTGTGACCACACAGGTCTAATACTCAGCAGCTTTACCCCTGCTTTTCCCCCATGACTTCTTCCTTGTTGTTTATGAATAATGCTGGCTTATTACACAACTGTTTTAGTTCCTCTCAGCCTTTACAGTGCCAGACCAGCCAAGCCATCTTCTGAGACAGACTCTCTGTCCCCTTCAGCATCCTTTGAGCCCTTGCTCACAGGCTGGGTAGATTGCTTTTGGGTGTTTGTTGTTTTCCTTCTTTCCCTTCTTCCCAAAGGACATCCTTTCAGGATTGGGCTGGGAAGAGGGAGAACTCTCCCTCGAACAAGCTGTCCTGTATTGATATGAGGTGTGTTGATTCCTGGCAGGAATCCTGTGGCTGTCATTGGGATCAGAGATGCTGTACATCAGCTTACTGCTCATCAGCTTCATCCTCCTGATGGTGGAAATGCTGCACACTGGCAATCCTATTTGTGGGCTGAAGCTCAACGCCTTTGCTGCTGTCTCCTCAGTGCTGTCAGGTAAGTGTGTTACTGCAGGCTTTGAATCACAGCAGCTGGAGTGCTCTCCCACACAAGGCTGAAGTATGCAGCTCTGGCTCCTGCTCTAACTTCTTTGCTTTCTTGTCTTTTGTGTCCAGGTCTCCTTGGGATGGTGGCACACATGATGTACACTCAAGTCTTCCAGGCAACAGTTAATCTGGGACCAGAGGACTGGAGACCGCACACGTGGGATTACGGCTGGGCTTTCTAGTATGTGAGCTCTGAATCCATCTTCACCTTCCAAATCCTTTCAGTTTCAGCCATGCTACACCCTGTAAAAGCTCACATCCTCCCTTCTTGACCTTCTGTGTTTCCCAATTCAGGTGTACCATGGTTCTCCTACTGCTAATCACCTGTCTTTGCCTCATACCCTGCTTTAACGGACAGTTGTTGAGTTACTTAAATGAGTAGCTACCAAGGACTGGCAAAACAATGTGGTCACACCTAAACACATTCCTTCAACCCTGACAAATCAGATTTGCCCTTGTACTGGTTTGCACTGTTTGGTCTCAGCTCTTCCCTGTGTGCAGAGGCCAGTGTCACACCTGTGACGATGCTCTCAAACACGCTGTGTTTTTCTGCAGTCTCAATAAGTTACATGCTGGTTTGGCATCTTGACTAACCAGTGGCCTATTCCTGCAGCACCAAGCCTAGACATGTGCTTAAAGATGTGGACACTGTAGCCAGGAAGAGCAGCTGCAAAAAACAGGTGGCTCGGGGTTCATTTCTCTAAAGGCTAAAGAAGCCATCCACTGCTGATATGCCATAACTGACTTGAAAAACAGTTGGATGAGCTTTGTAAGTGCTCATGGAAAGCACAGGGTTAATTTGCGATGCTGTACTGACAATGATCACATTGATTCTTAACACTCCAGTGCCCTGTGCCAGCTGTGGACACCAAATGTCAGCACGGCCATCTGGTTATGCTCATGGACACACCTCGTGCCCACAAAGCCACTGAGCAGCCTTGCAATACAAAATTTACTTCCCAGACCGGGGCTCTCCTGCTGCCCTTTTTATTTATCCTGTAGCACCCCCTTCCCTGCGACAGGGATGACCACTATTTACCCCACCAATCTAAGAAGGATCTTGTGGCAAGATAACCCTTATGAACTGTAAAGTTATGAGCCTTTTTCTTTCTAGTTCATGTCCATGCCCAGAAGCTTCTGCCCAGAAAATCAGAGCGCATGATGGTGCCTGCAGTTCAATTCCTTACCTTACTTGGCTTCTCACAGCATGTGCTGTTCTTGTGTCTCTCCTGTAGCATGGCTTGGGCCTCCTTCACCTGCTGCATGGCCTCTGCTGTCACCACCCTCAACACCTACACCAAGACAGTGCTGGAGTTCAAAAGGAACCACATCAAGGGCTATGATGGGAGCTTCAAGGATCAACCTCAGCACCACCAGTGCTTCATACAGCAGCAAATAAGCAGCTACTATGAGCCCCAAGCTAAGTCCCTCCTTTCCGTCTCTGAGGGAGTTGACTTCTACTCTGAGCTGCAGCAAAAAGTGCTACAGCGGGAACCAGAGCTGGAACTGGATGAGGTCTTGGGACAGACGATCGGGGAGGATCACTGTTAGGGATAAGTGTGCAGGGACAGTGCAGTGGGGTTTGGGAGGCACAAGCGCTCTGAATCAAACACGAGCACCACTGTTAGTGAGTTCTTGGGGAGCTCTTCCTTCCTCTACCATTCGAGGAGTGAGAAGGGAAGGTGGGCACTGGGCCAGGGCAATAGCAGTGCCAACAGTAGCAGGGTGAGTCCTCCCTGACTGCAGTTTGATGGGTGCCCTCAGCTGGGAAGGGTGAAACTGGAGGCAGATGTTGTTGGTGCCAGCTGTCTCCAAGCACTTTCAGACACAGTTGAGGCAGTTGTCCTAAACCCAGCAGCACTGCACCCAGGAATAGACAGTCAGCACTATCGGGCAGGCAAATTGCACTGCTGGGCCTCTGTCACATCGACCAATGTGTCACATTGACCTTCCAGCAACCCCCCTGGTTCAGTGCTATGGTGAAGGACATCAGTGCTCATATATTTATTGGCTGCAATTCTCTCTGAACACCCTATTTATTCTTCATTTCCAGGCCCAACCTCCTCTTCTCCCTGCCCCCAGATTAAAAGTGCTGCTGCAGTTGGAATGGGGGGTTGTTTTCAGACATCTCTCTCCTCTTTCCTATCTGTAATGACTCCCACATGCTCCCTCCTTGCTTTGTCTCCCAAAATCTCCCATTCTGAGGTACTTTCCTGTCTGTCTCCTTCTTCTGTGCTTCTCTTGGCTGGGATTTTGTTTTTTTCTTTGTTTTTCTTAGTCTGTCCCCTTTTCCCCATTGTAAAAATATCACAATCAATCCCCAAATCAATCAAACTCATCATCTATCAAAGGTGAAACACTGGTTCACATGACACACTGATGCTGTACACAGTATTTATTTGCTCCACTGCAGTTCACAGTTCAAATACATTTTCCCAACAATATACAGACAGACTCTTTATTCACAGTGAGGGAGTGTATGTGTGCGGGCAGGGTGAATTCACATTATGGAGGAGCTAACGTCACTGCACTTCAGTATTAGTTCTCTTGGGAAGAGCCTCAGGAGAATCACTACACTTCAGGTAACAGCCGCTTCACCTTTCCCAGCAAGGTGGTGGCTAGACAGGAGGGAAGGGGCACTCCTGTTTAATCCTCATATGTTACTGGTCCTCACAGTTTTAGCTTCTGTTATGCAGCTGTATTAACCGACTATATACTATAAACACTAACCTCTGTCTGGAGGAAAATGCCAGGCCTAAAGCCGTTGCTACAGTTGTGCTAATATATACAAAGCTATTTACACAAAAATACCATTAAACATATATAAACTGTTCACAGGCTCTGACATTAAGAGAGCAGGGCCCAAGGACCTGCCTTGGGGCTTGCAGCTAATTCTGAAGGGCTACCCTGGAAGCTTCATATGGAGATGCAGGGAAAAAGAAGAGAGGGTGATACAGCAAGGAGAGGTATCAAGAGCCCAGGAGAGAGAACCCATGGTAGATGTGCCCATCTGGAGAGAAGAGCAAAGTTCTGCCAGCACCTCACCACTCACATGGAAGTGTGGGGAGGCTGGAAGGGCACATGCTAGTAGGAGGACAGAGGAGTCCTTTGCAATCCTCATCTTAGCCTGGCTATGCCTGATGTCAAAGGTCATACCCAGAAAGGCATACTGGGAAAACAGTTCCTATGCTATTGCCCTGGACTGTGGAGAACGAATGGGGCACCAAAGTGGTTGGTTTATATATGGGCATTTCTATTATAAGAAAATTCATGTAGATGCTCTACAACTACAAGACAGGAGACTGATGGCACACTCGGAGCCATAGTTCAAAGCATTAAACATAGTGAGAGCAAATGTGCACTAGGGGTAGCCTGTTCCTCCTGGAGCTGCACACAGGGCTGGGTTGGCAAGGGAATGGTAAAGTTGAGCTCAGAATAGAGTAAAATGCCCAGAAAAGCTTTCCAGTTCTGCCTCTGTCTAAGCCTCTAAACCCTGAAGCAGTGGTGTGAGAATCAGCTTTGCTGTGGATGGATCTAGTGTGATCCATACAGTGCCAGTAGGGATCTGCTGGGAATCTATCCCAAAAGGGCTGTGGTGCATTGAAAAAGGGGACTCAGCCCATTGGACTGTGGTGTGATGTTACAGTGACACACTGGGTTCATAAAAAGCTTAGGGATGGATGAAGACGAAACAGAAATAAGACGTGAACCTTTCGCTTCTACATCACCTGCATGAATCTGTCTTGAACTTGGGATTGGGAAAAGAGATATACAAGTGCAAGAACTAGCAAATGCTGTGGGGTCCATCTTTCTCTAGATCAAGTAGTTCAGCCAGAGACCAAGTTTGTTTGTGAATGCGGTGACAGAATGGAAAAGTGGGCTGACAGTGCAGGAAAGCCTATGGACAAGACTAATCCTGCAGGAGCCAGATAGAGACTTCACTCCAAAAATAAAAACATTAAAGCAGGTGAGGCACTTTAGCCACACCATTTGCCTTGAGTCATCATGGCCTGCTCTAGGCCTAGAGCTTGTTTGACTGCCTAGGAATACTGTTTGGACATAAAAAGGAGTGTCCTAAAATCTCATTCCTAAATTAAACATACAAAATATATATATATATAGTACAAATTTAT